TTGTCTTTTAATGCCGCCTTTGAATGGCAGAACTTTTATCCGCGAAGTCTCTTAGCTATTTTGGGCATTTTTATGCCAATAATATTTTAATCAAGCTGTTCTGTGCATTGCCGACTAAAACTAATGACTTTTCGACAGCAACCTTCAAATTCTGCGGGAGCTTAGCTACAATAAATAACCAAACAGTACTAACCAAGAAAGGTGTATCGTAACTGTAACTCCAACCTGAGCCCTGTGCATCTTGTCACACGATATAGAGCTGCTGGAGTATAGTGATCAAAAACTATCATCAAATATTTTATGAAAGTATAGTTTTTTTGAAATATGTATGTACAAAAAAAAAATCAGCCCACTGTGAATACCCCTAATGACTTACGAAATTCGTTATACACATTGCAATTGCGGGTCTTCCACACGCGGGCAATAAATGGTTTTCAAACAATACAAAAACAGCAAATATTTTATTCGATAGCAAGAGAGTAAGTGCTCTATAAAATCATGTATGTATCTACGTACAGATGAATATTAGTGCAATCACAGCGTATAGCCATTCGTAGCGCCATTCAAGATTAGTGACATATAGCGGTCAACAACTACTCCATTAAGGTATCAGGATAGAATATATACATATACCTACATACACGTATGTGTTTAACTGATATGGATTTTACAAAAATCGAAAGATGAAAATAAATGTACACTAACCGTTATCTATGTGCGACAATGTTAAAATCATTAATATACATACATACATACATACATACATACGTACGAGTACGTCACTTTCGCACACATAAAATCCACGTAACTGAATTTCAATATCAAACACGCATTTTTCACGGTGTACCACTTTAACTTATTTTCGCGCGGCAAACGAACGCCGTGCGAAGTTTTTTTTTTTGTTTTATTTCCTTTTAGAGGTCAACAATTAGACGAATGTGAAGGGTAATTGATTTTTCGCAAAATTTCAACACACAAGGTGCAATGTAAAATGAAATTGTATAAATGTAAATTAATGAAAATTTCTTATTTTCTACACAGAAATGTTCGCCAGCAGCTGATTTGCTTTCGCTTATGGAGGTTTTTCATATTTATTTATAAACGCGGAAACACGTGTTTGAACTTAGATATACATACGTGCATATGTATGTAGGGAAGAACAAAATATTTCTATGCCCATAGGCATATATATCGAAATGGACAATGTATGTATATAAATATGCCTACATCCCGTGAATGCGCATTGAACTACATAATTTTCGCTTATTATTAATAGTTAGAGCATTCTAATTTACGCTATTCGACATGCGCGATTCACGTGAACAAAAAGCAAAAACAAAAAAAATATTTATTAACGTACTATCATTATATATGTGTGTATGTGTGTATGTACATCTGCACATATTTATAAAGTAATTGGGTTTAGTTATTATTATTTTTTATTTAAATATCACTAAGCGTACTTTAATTAAATAAAAAAAAAGATTGGTGGATAAGAAATAAAATGATAACGAAAAGAAAATTAATGATAATATAAAAAATATTTAGAAATAAATTTATTTATTTACTATTTTTAATTCTTCTTTTAGTTTATTTGTCAAAATAATAAATTTACCCCGATTTTTATTATTCTAAAATTTAAAACATATTATTAATTGCATTTTGAATAAATTTAACACGGAAAAAATTTTAAGTTTATCTTAGTTTATATCTAAGTTAATTCATATTTAAATTTTCTATCCCTTTTATTTATTTATTTATAAATTTTTATAATAATAATATAGACTTAAACTTTTATAATAATAATATAGACTTAAATTCCTATTTTTCTTAAATAAAATTAAAATTAAGTGCTTAAATAAAATTTATAAAAATTATTTATAATGTTTAAAAGTAAAATTATTTATTTATAATTTTTATAACCCCTTCTTTTGTTTAAGTTGAATTATTAAATCAATTAAAATATTCCAAATTTTATAGTTTATTGTTGTTTTTTGTACTTTAATTAATTAATTGCGAAACAAATATATAAATATATAAAAATAAAATTATTTATTATTTTCAAATATTTTAAAGTTTACTTAAGTAATTATTATTTATTTTACTTTAACTAATTAATAGCGAAAAAAATATGCTTAATAAATTTGTAATTAAACTTTCTATCATTTTAATTTATTTATTTATATTTTTTTATACATTTAATGAGCTTTATTTATTATTTTTGAATACAACTAACCGATTTGTACTTAATAAAATTTATAAAAAATTAAAGAAGTGTAGTAAAGAGATAACGAAAAATATTTGATGATAATGAAATATTTATTAATTATATTTATAAATAATTTTTAGAATTAAATTTGTATGCCTGTTTCAATTTTTCGATATAATGAATTAATTTCACTTTAAAATTTAATATTATTTATTTCTTTTTTGAAGAAAAAAATGGAATAAATTAATCATTTACATATATTTAACTTTCTATAATTTTAAATTTTTTTTTATTTTTTTCATACCCACCAATTAAAACCGCTGTCACAAATGGGCTGTTATTTTGTTTGATTTTATTTATGCTATTTTGAAAAACAATTCTTCTATTGAATGCCACGTATGTTGGCGACGTCAGAGATTTAAAAAAAAAACACACAAGTGGTATACAATTAGATTTTATTTATGTAAAGGATTTATTTTTAAAAATGTTGCGCTATAAAGACGGTCATTCACATGTACATACATATGTACATGCAGCTTTTAGGCATATAAAAATGCATTTTCAGCTATGTAAAATAAAATTTATAAATAATATATATAAAATTTAAATATTAATACCGTATTAAAAAAAATATATAAATTCAACATAGAAAAAAAAATTTTAAGAATTTAATTTAAATTTTTATTTGCACAGAAATTGAAGTAATGAATAATGAAAAAAATTCTTCATAGATATTATATCATTCCAAAAGCTTTAAGTCCCAACACCATATAATATCAAAAATTAAGGCCGCCACAACAACAACAACAAATATTATTTTCAACAATTGATGGATACTTTGTTCTCTCAAATATTTCTTTTTGTTTTGATAATTTCTTTGCCAAAAAATTGATTTTATGCATGTTCTGACGTTTTTACTTCAATCGTCATGCCACATTTGCTAAAATAAATTTTACGTTTTTTTTTCACATTTCATTTTTAAACATTTCATTTTTAAACAACGTTTGACACTTTAATACCATACGTGACGTTTATTGCTTATACATTGCATGCGACACATCCTTTGTTTTTAACGGTCAGGGCTGAAAATCGTATATACACTCAAGCACATTGGCACTGTTTATTGACCTAATGTTATAGAATTATAAAGAAAAATTCCAACTACTCTCTCGTATAACGTTATTAAGCTTGTTAGTAAATATATATGTATGTAAGTGCATTTATATCTGTATAGTTAAGCAATAATTAATTGACCACAAATTAGAAGAAACAGCGCAAAAAAAATTAAATAATTATGCAATTGTGCAAAAAGTAGAAAAACATTCACTAGCACATATGTATGTACAAACATACTTATGCAAACATCTCTACAGACAAGACACAAAGAGCCAAGAAATTACAATGAATTTGTACAACATTTTAAGCTTTCGCACTTTCATTTTTTCGCTCTTAACAAATATAATTGTTTGGCTATTCAATGAAATTCTAAATGATATGCGCGAGAAAAGCCGGGTATAGGCAGTAATATTTTAAATGAATAGGAGGAAAAGTAAATATTTTTAATTACTTTCTTTATTTTATTTTATTTCATTTTGTAATTTATTTTTTTTTATCTCTGTTTTGTTTTATTTTACTTTTTTGATTTAACCTACTTTATTTAATTTATTTCTTTTAATTTAATTTTTAGTTACTTTTTTGCTTAATTTACTTATTCTATTTTACTTAATCTTATTTTATTGTTGTTTAATTTTATTTATTTAATTTATTTTATATTCCACTTTATTTATTTTTTTTGCTTTAATTTTTTAATTTGTTTTATTCTGTATGATTTTCACTTATTATACTTATATTTTTGCTTCCTTTATATAATTTTACTTTATTTAAATTTTTTATTTTATTTTTTAGTTCTTCTAATTAAATGTTTTTTATTATTTTTCTCTTTTACATTACTCTATTTCATTAAATTTAATAATGATTTAATTTTACTTTAAATTAATTTATTTTAACTTATTTTATTTTATTTTATTTCATTCTGTTTTATTTCATTTCATTATATTTTGTTTCACTTCATATTGTTTTGTTTCATTTCATTTTATTTTTTTGTATTTTCTTTAGTTTTTCTTTGGTTTTATTTTAATCTAAGTTTTTTATTTTATTTGCTATTTTACTTTATGCCTTTTAATTTTATTTTATTTTGTTTTTTATTACTTATTTTTATTACTATTTTATTTTATTAATATATTTAGTATTTTCATTTAATTTAACTTAATTTTTTTATTATTGTACATTTCATTTTGTTCAGATTATTATGTTTTATTTTATTTATTTAACTTTTCTTATTATATTTTATTTTATTTGATGTTGTCTGTATTTATTATATTTTATTTTAATATATTTTATTTATTTAATTTTATATTTCAATATATTTAATTTTTGTTTAATTATTTATTCTACGTACTTATTTTTTTTTAAATTAATGTAATTTTAATTTTTGTTTTATTTTATTTATTATAGTTTAATTTATTAATTTTTATTTTTATTTTATTTTTTTATTATTTTCTTTATTTTTCTTTTATTTTTTTTACCTTATTTTAAGTTTGTTTGGATATTTTATTTTATTTCCATTTTTTTACCACAGCTTACCATATGTTTTGTCCTTATATATTATATAGTTAATGCATAACTACATTTGTACATACATACTTATGCACATATGTTACATCTCAATTTAGTTCCTGTTAACCTCTTTCAAAAACTTTCGCTCAGCTGTTTATACATATTTCCCACTCACCTTTTCTGATGTCTTTCGGCACAGATATGTATTTCCTTTCGCTGTTATTATTGTCCTTGTGTATCCTTCGTTGTGTATATATAGACACGAAATTTTCTAATATTGTATTGTATCCTTCACTTATCCTCTTCGAGCAATCTGGATATCACGCATACAAATTATACACAAAATGTGAGTTTATATATAATTACATATATACAACGTATATATGTACATATATAACTTCCACTATTTAAACTTCACTGCACTGCAGTTACCTAGTTATAGCCAAATTTATTGTCTCTTTTAAGAAAAATAAAAAATAAGTAAATTATAGCAATTGCAATTAATTGAAAAAAAAAATTGGTTTCGCGTGTCCTCTACTTCGAAAAGTGTCCGTAAAAATTTTGTAGAAATAATAATTATGTAAAATCACAACGCATTGCGTACAAATTTGCAGGAGATATTTTTTCGCTGTCTTTTCAGTTACTTTTCGTGCATTCAAATGGCTGATTTTCCAAAACCACACGAAAAATATGGCCAAATTTTTAAGAAATAATAGTAGTTAGTATGAAGCAAATACAATAAATAATAAATTTCTACACTTCACACTTTTTTCTATATACACATGCATATGTATCTACATATATTTCTATATATGTACATATATTTTTTGCACGAAAGTTTAATAAAAAAAACTCTTTACCACGCACCACCACAAGGAACAAAAATGTCTGTTCACACCAAAGTTACACATCTGACTGCTAAAATAACTTGAAAAAGCTAAACATGAAAAGCCTACAGTGGCTGAAGTGCCAGAACGAGGCAGTGACGTTGTAATCGGCAGCGCTGCTATCTGTAGCAGCAACAGCGAAGGAATTTCAATGACCGAGTCTGAAAAAAATGTATGTACTCACATGGATTTGCAAACAATAAAACAGAAATACAACCATACATGCATACCGAAGATTGAGAATAAAAGTTTTATATGAAGCGAAAGCTTGAGCAGAAAATAACAGACAATTATAAAAGTTAACAGCAGAAACATCAGATGTACAAGAGCTTGTGCCAAGCTAACCTCTAGGAAAATTGTAGAGATAGTCAAAGTGATATAAATTACATTCACATAACAGTTTCGCCTCACTTGGACGCAAAGTTTTGCTTTGACAGATATAATCGATGTGCATATATGTATGTATTTACGTGAATCGACTCAAATTAAAAATAATTTTACAATACATCAAACGACCTAATAAATATTTAGTAACAGTTAATAAATCATTTATAAAACTTATTAACTTATAATGAATATTGTTTCATGTGAAGAGAACTATGCAACTGTAATCTCTACATGATTTATGAATACTCGACTAGGAAGAAAAATTTCTAACGCCAAGATTTCTTTATTGAAACACCCGGTCTTTAGACAGTGCTCGAACGCTTCAAGACACTTCAATTATTTAGAAATATAAAATTGTGGTTGCAAATCGAAAAGCTACAGCATTGGGGATTGGCGATGAACACGTGTAGTCACAATTTTTTCAGCTGCCGATGCTGAAACCAAAACGGCGAGGGTAAACCGAACTGGTGAACAAATGAAGTGCTAACGTTGAATTTGCTAAATGAAATGAAATTACTTTGATCCAAAATTTTCGTCATAACTAGAATTCAGATACAAAAAAAAAATCTAGTTTTTTTACATTAAGATTGACAATTCCACATCTATTGTAACCTAAAATTACCAACCATGCTCTATGAATTAAGAAACAATTGTGAATAGAAGGAGAAAAACGTTCCGCCTGCTTTTGTATGACAGAATCTTATTCCGTCAATTATGCGCTTTGATACATGGCGATTCGGTGTTAAAAATGAGCTCTGTTGGGTTCGTCATAAGTTCACCATATATTTGGGCGTTCATTAAGTCAATAAAGACTGTATCATATTTGCATTGGCACTAAAATGAAAATTCGTGTTTCCTACTGTGTCTATACTGTATGCCGGTATCAAATGTTAAGCTTCAGAGAGGAAACATCGTGCAAAAATGTTTTCAAAACCTATTTTGTATGCATAAAAGTATTTACAAATAACCACATCTACATACATATGTATTTATGTACATTTGTACGCACAGTACATCGGCCACTTCACTAGGCTGCTCAACAGCAAAGTCAAAGTCATTGCGCGTAGTCGCAACGCTGGCAGAAACATCAACGCCAGCATCGACTGCATAACATCTCGATGTTACAAATTTCGAGCAATTCATGGGACAATCTCAATCTTTCTTAATGCTTGCACTTCAATTTATGTACATATGTATATTTGAACATATATATATGTATGTATATAATCATATGTATAAATACGTACATATTTATATATAATAAAATGTATACATACATATATTTCGAAGTATATTTTGAGTACCAGAATTCGAGGTCTTAGGTCGAATTCCCACCAGATTAACATCTACATATGTAAAATGTAGAGCTTGACAATATTTACATGTGTATACATACATACATATTTCTTATATGAGAAATAACAAATTGCCATTAAACTCCATTAGACGTTCGGAGGTAGTTTAAAAATCTAACCACACGCAAACATGAATCGGAGAAGAAGCATGTCCGAAAAGAGCACAAGCTTTAGTAAAGCGCTAATGTACGTATATACATATATAGGTTTATATACATATGTATGTATTTATACTTTAATATTAAAATTCATGTAGAAGTGACTAAACATTTCTAGTAGGTCGCACCCGTCAATTGAGGCGATAAGCGAAACTGGCTGCCGGCTGATCACAGCGAGTCACTTTCCACGCGAGAAGCCGGCTGTGACGTGTATGCGCGCGTCTTTCGTATATGCGCGAGCTTCATACATGCATATAAATATACGTGTATATATAAATGTCTATATAAATTTATATATTTTCTGCTGAACTTGAAGAGTAATGATAACAGCAGAGAGTAATAAACTGTTAGCAATGTTATGAGCTTTGCAAAATTGGTCGATGACAGTGGGAATGCTGAGAGTGCAAAAGAGAGCTTTGCAATTGTTTTTTATATTGTTTTTTTTTCATATGGCAAAGAGCACAAAAACTTTTATGATGAAATAAGAAAACTTACTTAATAAAAAAAATTAATGACTTCTTTTATTAAAATGATTATTATTATTATTTATTTGTTGTTATTATCAGAGGAAAAAAATACATTAATTAAATTACGCAAAGGAAATTTTGCACAAATACATAATGTCACTGGTACTCAAAAGTGATATTTTTTAACAGACTATTTTATAATTTTTTTTTCGCCATTAGAAAAGTAAATAAAATGACCAGCTGCGCAACCGGCTCATAGTCATGTCCGATGGAATATTAACGTAGCTTTAAGATCAACTGAGCAAGAGCATTAGTAAAAGAGTTGAAGAATTTGATGAACGTACACAGATCTCGTTCAAGGATGTGCAGAGAATGGTGGCGCCTCTTCTTTTCAATTTTGGAAACCTCTTTTTCTGGCTCAATAAAATCCCTTCCGTGTCCCAAAATACCGTTGCCATGAGTTTCCCAATTGATTATGACCAACTAAACTTCTTTGGGCGTGTGTTGTGTTCTTTTAATGCCACTGCACATAGTTTTGTTTTGACTCTGGTTCGTAATTATGATGAGAATCGTCGGTACCCATCTTCTGGTATCCTTAGGTAATCCAAGATGATCATGCAAGATAATTTAAAAATGCTTGTATCGGATACTCTAACCATTTTTGCAAGTTGTTTATTATTTATTCTAGTTTCTGAACACCGTACAATCCTAATGAACCTAATCATCACACAAGAACCATTCCACGAACATAGAAAGGTCCCTCGTACCAAGTGTCTGGTAGCTGATGTGGAGGGGAGGGCGAAAAACGTCATGTTTAGAAGCGGCTACGTGCTAAATACGTGGTGCCTATCGCATGGACTGCACGCTAAAGATAGCATACCACCAATTGACATTGCAGTATAAAGCATTGAAGCGACAAGCGCTGTGAGATTTGCGGCGTTAGATAAATTATCTGCCAGATAAGCAAGGGAATGATAAAACCAAGGCAAGGTGTTATCATATCCTAATAATACCATGAGCGAAATAGATATTAGACAACCTTACAAGCTATAGGAGTTTGGAAATATTTCCCAGGTGGAGACCTTCTCGGTAGAGAAAGCTAAACGACATGAAAAAAACAACATAAATTCAAGTATCCACACTGTTTGTGAAAGTGTGGCCGAAGACTGTAAGGTGTCAATTTCTCGACGCTCTCAAAATCCGGGGCTTTCTTACGACACATTATGGCGTATTTTCACTTGAACTCGCACCCACATCCCATATAAACTCCAGCTCACACAACAACTGAAGCCTGCTGACCATTCACCGTACATACTACATACATATATGTATGTTCGTCATTTGGAGCTCCGAGAAACCTTAAATGATTGCAGAGAGGACAAAAAAAAAACTTAAAGTCTGCTCTTTGCTACGGGAGAGCGTTATGGTAGTACGATAACCGACTCACTTTTGGCCTTCATAAGAAGAACACGACTTGTGCAATATGTTGTTTTAGCAAGATGGTGCCAGTTACCACACAGACTAAGCAAATATGGCTTTATTGCGACAGAAATTTCGTCCTCTCTCCCTCTGGTCCGGGCGATGTCAATTGGTCACCGAAATTATGTGAGTTAGCAGCGTTGGACTTTTTTTTATGTGGGGCTACGCAAAAGACTGTGTTTATACGGATAAACCTTTAACTCTTGAGCACTTGAAAATCAATATTCGTCAAGTTGCGCCCGAGATACCGTGGTAAAAAGTGGCCGAAAATTTCTGCAAATGGATCGAAGTTTGAAAAAATTCCCGAGGCGGTCATTTCAATGATATAATTTTTCACGTGCATACGTATAATGCCACGAAATGGATGAAAAATGTTAAGAAAACCCTCTTTTTAGGTGCTTTAAGATTTGCTAATGATAACTCTAATGCCGGTTAGATTATTGTCAAGAAGTCAAAAAGTTTTTTCGACAACAAATATAGTGTTTTCACTAATATCGTTCACCTTGATTGTAATTTTTCATTCATAAATAAATATAATAAACGATAAGCCTACGGGAAAATTCCACTAATATTTAGTATAAAAAAAATATGTCTCAGATTTCCGAAAAAAGTCTATTATTAATACACACACACACTTCAAGTATTATTTACACGCCAATCAGATTAAATATAAAATACCAATGAAACGCTAAGCGTTTAACAAAACGTCTGCACGCTTACGCTCTAAGGCGCAACAACAAAATGTTAGTAATTTAATATCAACACCTTGAGCGGCACGTCTCAGATAGCAAAAAGGGATTTATCAAGCGAAACCAACAAGCATTTATGAATGATTTGCGCCGCATTTATACACACCTATGTATATATACATATATGTCTGTATAAATACATAGGTTATCGCTGCTCTAAATAAAGATATCGGTCGTGTTGGCAGTTGTCAGTTGTGTACGTACACGAGTGCGCACACGAGTTGTTGCGAATTCATTGGCACCATTTTGACTGCGTTTGTGGGTGGCAGACGTACACATATACATATTATATGTGAATATCTAGTTCGCTGTGCGTATGAGCAACATTTCATCACGTTTATTGCACTCATTAATTTTCACTATCGCACAAGCAATTGATCGATTTAAAGAGTTTAAGATTTATTCGCTTTACGCTGTGATGGAGTTGAGCATATTTTGATGGATTTGCGTGAATTTTGAGACGCAAAAACTTTATGTTTTCTTTGCAGCCGTTGAATGTCTAAGATTTGTATGGAAAAATTATAAACAAAAAAAAACACACACATACATACATATACCATATACTGAAATGTACATATATTAATATTTTTTGAATAATTATAAATTATAAGTCTATATTAATTTATTTTCCACCTTTTTCCACTAGTCATTTTATTATCAGCAAATTTGAGACATTGTACCTTCACATTCTGCATATACATATGTACATATGCATGTATGTACATATCTCATATACAAATATATAATAAGAAAATCTGTGCCAGATAATGATTTTTAATATTCAGACAGGCTTAATTAATTTTATGATTTGCTATTTTGTATATTTATTACAAAAATAAAAATAAAAATAATAATAATTATAGTTGTAAAATTCACATTTCAAATAATTATTTTTATTAAAAATTTTACTCAATTTGCTTGGCCTTGGCAACGTACATGGAAACACATATATACATACGTACATATACACATACTTACGGAAAATATTTTTATTCATTTTAAATGAAGCAAAATGCCTCTGGTCGATACGTGATTAACTCGGCATCTTCAGGTTCGCCATCAAACAAACTTAAAGATTTGTTCTTTCCTTTAGTCCCCTTTTTCAGCTCAGTAAACTCTGAAAGACTGTAACCAGATCACTGCTCTGGAACTATAGGTTTTGAAACATGCAAAAACTAAATTGTTGAATATTTTTTCGGTTACAACAACAGCAACAACAACAACGACGTTATAGGTAGCATTTTTGAGTATTCGAACACTTTGGGGAAAGAGGAGAATCTGCTTTCGGTTTTACTAGAACTTCAACGAGCTGAGCGGGACAACTATGGCAATTGGCGTTACAAATTTCCATTTCGGTTCTACTCTGTCCTACCCATCGAGTATTTGTGACGGTAATGATGCCTGACCTCATTTTTATCAAAACTTCGATGAGATGGTCGAGGAAACCTTTCCAATTATGGGAGAAAAAAAACAAAAATTGGTACAAAGGCTCATTTTCGCTCTGCATCGCATCGAATATTTTGAAGAGAGATAAGACCTGCCCTTGGTTTTACCACAATTTTAACAAGAGGAGTGTTCTTTTCGAGCCAACAATGTTTTTTCTGTACTTTTTTATGAATTCCTAGCTCGCCGAAAGAAGAGTTCGATAATGATGCACATTAATGTGGTCTGCATGTTCTGGTAAATGTACGGTAAAACACCGTCTCTATCTGCCGTCACCCTGTCAATAGGAAAGACACGCTTCACATACTTATTTATTGTTATCTGCACTTGTATATTTACTTCTAGTGTGTACTTAAGCGAATTTCGTAGGTGTGTCTTGATTGAACGAAACAATGAATTCCTACTGCTTTGATTACGCCACGGATCATGAAGCTTACGGCTCTTGATACATTTTAAGTTGTTTACGAACAGTACGCTGGAATAGTGATAAAATATTATAGTCTGTGCGTAATGCTTTTTATTTTGCCATGATACCACATTTTGATATAAATATATGTATAATTAAAAAATTATTACTTTTTTAATACTTTAAGACACACAAAATGAACAAAGTATGTACGTACGTATTTAAATATAAGCAAATTATCAAAATATAATGGCAAAATATTTATATTATGATTTTACAGCAGCGAGTCTGAGTACTGTGGATTTTTTTTAAGTGCGTAATTTGAAAAAATGCAGAACTTTTTGGACAAAAATTTTATTTTTGATTTGTTTGTACCATTTTATTAACAGTATTGATTTGAACAATAAATAAAAAAAAATATTTCATTGCTGCATATCAGTGGTTTATGAAAATTTCACAAAAAATAAAAATAAACTTCAAGATATGCCAGCTTGTATATCTTGTACCTACCTGCTATAAATATGTTTGCATTTGTGTATGTATATGCACGTGTAATTTTTGAATTCTTACTGTGCCTATTTCCAAAGAATTATTGCTTTTTATTATATTGTGTTGCTTCACAACAAATGTATTTATATACGTACGTATGTATGTATGCTTATACTTTTAAATTTACATATATATTTCTGCCGGCTATCAGTTAACTTATTTATGTACATAAGTTTGCTATAAAATAGCCGGCTTTTTCTTATGTACATACATACAAACGTTCGTATACATATTGTTGGTATTACTATCGGTGTGGTTCCACCAGAGTCCACACGCGCTGCCACAACAATATTTAAGTCAAACAGCACTCAATTGCTGGGTAAACATGTTTATAGCAATTTTATGCGTTTGTTTATTTATTTGTTTATTCGGCCAAGTCATGTTAACACTGACATACACACAATGCATAATAAAAGCAGTTATTTTTAGAAAATTTTGTTGTCAAAAAATTTGGCTGGTAAAATAGGTTTGCATTTATCTTCTACGAATCACCACTATGGTATTCCACTGTAGTTATATATATATATTTACATATGTGGGTATATACAATAGTTAACAAATTGTTTTTTCTCTTTAATTGTTATGCTTCTCTCACAGTTAAGCTTTTCCACTGAAATGCTACTTTTGACAAATATTATTTAATCGGTCCTGTGGCGCAATGGATAACGCGTCTGACTACGGATCAGAAGATTCCAGGTTCGACTCCTGGCAGGATCGCAATTTAAATTTTTTTGTTTTTTTTATACAAAAAATTATGTTTCATAAAACTAAATGTAAGAATTTAGTTTTCATAGCGTTTATTTGGTAAAACCGGCATATATTGATCGATTTTTTTCGATTTTTATAAGATATAGTTTACAACCATTAGTGTTTCTCTCTCGAAATTTAAATGCTGGTGGTATGATAAATTTTACTTATATAATATTTGATTTAGTTTTTGTGAAAGAAATTAAATAAGAAAAGCTAGATAGCTAGATAGAAATTTTTGATTTAAGCAATTCAAAATATATTTTGCTTTTTAGAATTTATGACGCCAATTATTAAACGGAAATTTCTAATAACATTTTACATATATTAAATGTGACTTAATGCTCAGTGTACAATTAATTTCGGTATTTACGAATAAGTGATTAGTCAAGGTCGAGAGGAGCTTATCATCATTAGCAACTCTGTTGAATTTAAAATATAATTTGAGGTGCCATAACCATATAAAGCAGCTGATCCAACCAATTGATGTTATCAGATTAGTGATACTTACCATAACCTTTTGATCGAGACCATAGTTTCACAAACAGCTGATTGTTCATTTGTTTCAATCGCAAAATTTTTATTTTGCTCATTTGAGCGACAGAGCTCGTCGTGTCTCTCTGTAAAAATTCATATACGATTAAAAATCTGTTGAAAAATGAAGGCTTGATTGGAAGTCGTGTATACTTATCCGTTACAAACAATTTTTTCATACAAAAATTTAATAATATTTATCAAATGATAGTTATATCAGGTTTATCAGCAAATTTTCGTATTTAAATGTAGTCAGAAAGTAGAAATCATGTTTTTAATCGCATACTCACCGGCTATGTTTACGTCTACAATAAACTTCCTTTATATCGGAGGAGTATCTTAACTTCTCTTATGTTCTTTTTAATTCTAGACGGTAGGGTTTTTTTAATATCTTTAAATAACCTGTGTTAGCGCAAATATATATACTCAGTCCAGCTTCAAGGTGTGTGAACCATGTAAGATTTTTAAATTTCTAATTTTATAAATCAACCCTATGCAACCCTATGCGACCAATCAGCTGATTTGTGCAGAAATTGTAAAATTTTCTCTAATGAACATATTTGTAAACAAATTTTGTAAAAAAAATTAAATAGAAAATTTAAGCATTATGCTAACTGCAAAAATAGGTAAAGTGGGTAAAGTGCTTATATGTGGAATGAAAGGTGTGGGTAAAACAGCACTGCTTGAGCAATTGATTTATGGAAATGTCAATATGGACACGGTAGGCCCAAGAAACCACCCACGCCAGAAACACATTGCTGCATGATTAGCATAAGTTTTTGATTTTTCATTTTAGGAGCTGCATCCTACTATTGAGGATATTTATGTGGCTAGCGTAGACACGGGGCGCGGCGGCGCACGAGAAACTCTACGCATATACGATAGCGCCGGACTTCAAGGCAAAGGTCAACTGCCGCGACATTATCTTCATTTTCCCGATGGCTATGTACTGGTCTATGACCCAACAGACCCCAGCAGCTTAGATATGTTGGCTGATATTAAAACGGATATCGATCGTAATAAGGAGAAAAAAGATAACGTAGCAATAATAGTGTTGGCTAATATGCGTGCTCGAAACAGACGTGAATCACCGGCTTCACCACCAGTGCAAGTGTCACAACCAACTTCAGCTCAACAACAACAGCTTGATTCGGTAGAATCAGTTTTAAATCGGGCAAATAGTTGGTGTGCACGTGAACGTATAAAACATTACACAGTAAATGCTATGGAACGTCCATCATTGTATGAACCGTTTATAGCGTTGTGTGCTCGCTTACATCCTCCACCCACAAAGAGTAGTTTTCCACAATTGCGTCAAGTAATGCAGAAAACGCAAAAAAGTGATAGCTAGGACGGGGAATCGGATGGTGGCGGTGGTGACAATATGCTCTGGTGTATAGCAGGGTGTCAAGGAACCGGTGGTGGCGGGCAATAATCGAAATGCAAAACAAAATAATTTTACGGGGCTTACAATATAATTACACATGTATGTAGTTGTAATTGTAGCTGCAAAATATATTAATCTCATATTTTATACATAATTAGTACTTATAATATTAACTTACATATGTATGTGTGTGTGTAACCAATTGTAACCATTTAGAAGGGTATCGTAATAAAAAATTTAATAAAGTAAGATAAAGCTACAAACATAAACACTTTTCATTCAATTTCATATTTGTATGACATTTGAATAATAGAAATTATTCACAAAATAGTTATAACAAAAAATTAATAGCTGCCGCACAAATAATACTGAACTTTCACAATATTTATTTCAAAAATGCCGCCTGATTTAAATCAATTCAACGGCGTTTTTTATATGCAAACATGTCTAACATGCAACCCTGGGCAGCATTTGGTGCCGCTCTTTTTGCTTGTTTCATTCTAAGTCATTCCTATCTATTCTCCATGATTTTTTCATTGTGAAAACTGGTGAAAATTCGTCTGCAGCTGCTAAATTTCGTGTTTATAAAAAGTAAAATTTATCGGTGTAAAACACAGAAAATACTGTTAAAAGTATTTGAAATATCTTCATTTTACAAAGGACAATGTCCAAGGAGGAAGTAAAAGCTGATGTGATGGAAGCTAACGACAATTCGGTGAGTTCAATTCATTCACAAAAAAAAATGTGAAGCAGCGGAGTCTCAGTTTTGTATATGTGTACGTATATATATTTCCAAGAAGCGCCGCCACTGGTATCGCATTTTTAAGTGACAATGCGGCGAACAGCTGGAGGGAATGCCGGGCCAGCGTGATATTTAGGAAAAAAAAAAAAACAAAAACATGCGACAGAACATTGTTTTGTTTTGTGTTATTAAAATGTAAATACTCCCATGAAAATACATCTCAACATTTTTTTATTAAAACTTGTAGAATGAAACCACTTCGGAGGCCACTACATCTTCTGCCGAGAAAGAGGTCGACTTTGACAACAAGATCGAAAATGATAGAGGAAAACGATTTGATTTCTTGCTGAAACAGACGGAAATTTTTACCCATTTCATGACCAATAGTAATAAAAGTCCAACCAAACCTAAAGGTCGGCCTAAAAAGAATAAAGATAAAGAAAAGGAAAAGGATGGAAATGCAGAGTAAGTTTATTTGCAAACAAGAAAAATTTACAATTTGATATACATATTAAATGGTTTTTTTTACAGTCATCGTCACCGTAAGACGGAACAGGAAGAAGATGAAGAGTTGTTGGCTGAAGATACGCAGTCGAAAGAATTATTTCGTTTTGAAAGCTCACCAAGTTACATTAAAAATGGTGAATTGCGTGATTATCAGGTGCGTGGCTTAAACTGGATGATATCTCTATATGAAAACGGTATAAATGGTATTTTGGCCGACGAGATGGGTTTGGGCAAGACTTTACAAACAATTTCACTACTTGGTTATCTTAAGCACTTCAAGTAAGTAATACACACATAATCTTACGAATTATATAGTTAATGGTGATTTTTTTTATGCCACAGAAACCAAGCTGGCCCACATATTGTGGTTGTGCCCAAATCGACTTTACAAAATTGGGTGAACGAATTCAAAAAGTGGTGTCCGTCATTGCGTGCTGTATGCCTGATTGGTGATCAAGATGCACGTAATACATTCATACGTGATGTACTTTTGCCAGGAGAATGGGATGTTTGTGTCACTTCTTACGAAATGTGTATACGTGAAAAGTCTGTTTTTAAGAAATTCAATTGGCGCTATATGGTTATTGACGAAGCACATCGTATTAAAAATGAAAAATCAAAACTTTCAGAAATTTTACGTGAATTCAAAACAGCTAATCGTTTGTTAATTACCGGCACACCGTTGCAGAATAATTTGCATGAATTGTGGGCATTGCTAAATTTCCTGCTACCAGATGTATTTAACTCTTCTGAAGATTTTGATGAATGGTTCAATACGAATACTTGTCTCGGTGATGATGCGTTAATAACGCGTTTGCATGCTGTATTGAAACCATTCTTGTTGCGCCGTCTAAAAGCTGAGGTAGAGAAACGTCTCAAACCGAAAAAGGAAATTAAAATATTTGTCGGCCTCTCCAAGATGCAACGTGAATGGTATACAAAAGTACTAATGAAAGATATTGACGTTGTAAATGGCGCCGGTAAATTGGAAAAGATGCGTTTACAAAATATTTTAATGCAATTGCGTAAATGCACCAATCACCCGTATTTGTTTGATGGCGCCGAACCAGGTCCACCATATACCACTGACACACATTTAGTGTATAATTCTGGCAAAATGGTTATATTAGACAAATTGCTGCCTAAATTGCAGGCGCAAGGTTCACGTGTACTTATATTTTCACAAATGACGCGCATGTTGGATATACTGGAAGATTATTGTCTGTGGCGCAACTATCAGTATTGTCGTTTGGATGGTCAAACACCGCACGAGGATCGTAATCGTCAAATACAAGAATACAACATGGATAATAGCTCCAAATTTATTTTCATGCTTTCCACACGCGCCGGTGGTTTAGGTATTAATTTAGCTACAGCTGATGTGGTAATCATTTATGACTCTGATTGGAATCCCCAAATGGATTTGCAGGTTTGTGTTAATAAATTCTAATATTTCCAAATGTGATATTTTATAATTTTCATTTGTTTTTTTTAAAGGCCATGGATCGTGCACATCGTATCGGTCAGAAGAAACAAGTGCGCGTTTTCCGTTTTATCACCGAAAATACTGTGGAGGAAAAGATTGTGGAGCGGGCGGAAGTAAAATTGCGTTTGGATAAATTGGTTATACAACAAGGCCGCTTGGTGGATAATCGTTCTGCACACTTGAACAAAGACGAAATGTTGAACATCATTCGTTTCGGTGCCAATCATGTTTTCGCTTCTAAAGACTCTGAGCTAACCGATGAAGATATTGATACCATCTTGGAACGTGGCGAGGCGAAGACTGCCGAAGAAAAGGCCAAATTGGATGAGCTAGGTGAAAGTTCTCTGCGCACATTTACTGTTGACACCGGTGGCGGTGAAGGTGGTTCCACATCTGTATACCAGTTTGAAGGTGAAGATTATCGTGAAAAACAGAAATTAAATGCTCTAGGTAACTGGATTGAACCACCGAAACGAGAACGCAAAGCTAATTATGCCGTCGATGCATATTTCCGTGAGGCTTTGCGTGTTTCCGAACCAAAGGCGCCCAAAGCGCCACGTCCGCCGAAACAGCCAATAGTGCAAGACTTTCAATTCTTTCCGCCTCGTCTCTTTGAGTTGCTCGATCAGGAGATTTACTATTTCCGTAAGACAGTAGGTTATAAAGTGCCGAAAAATCCCGAATTAGGTTCGGAGGCAACCAAAATGCAACGAGAAGAACAACGTAAAATCGACGAAGCTGAGCCGCTCTCAGAAGAAGAGATTGCCGAGAAGGAATCACTGCTAACGCAAGGTTTCACCACTTGGACCAAACGTGATTTCAATCAGTTTATCAAAGCAAATGAAAAATATGGTCGCGATGACATTGAAAACATTGCTAAAGATGTCGAGGGCAAAACACCGGAGGAGGTAATTGAATACAATGCGGTGTTTTGGGAGCGTTGTCACGAACTGCAAGACATCGAGAGAATTATGGGCCAAATTGAGCGTGGCGAGGCGAAGATACAACGAAGATTATCAATTAAAAAGGCACTTGATCAAAAGGTATATTAAACAAAAAACGGTAAAAATACAAAGAAATCAAATAAATAAACTATATATTTTTAGATGTCGCGTTATCGTGCACCATTCCACCAACTACGCTTGCAATATGGCAACAATAAGGGCAAGAATTATGTTGAGCGCGAAGATCGCTTCCTGGTTTGCATGCTACACAAGTTGGGCTTTGACAAAGAAAATGTCTACGAGGAATTACGTGATGCCATACGGTAGGTGCCTTAGATATAAAATGGAAATGAAAAATAATTCTTAACATTTTTGAATCTCCAATTCCAGTTCATCACCCGAATTCCGTTTCGATTGGTTTATTAAGTCGCGTACAGCGTTAGAGTTACAGCGTCGTTGCAACACACTTATCACACTCATTGAGCGTGAAAATATTGAACTTGAAGAAAAAGAGCGTCAAGAGAAAAAGAAGAAAGCCGCCAAAAACTCGACTGGTGCTAGTACAACCAGTGCACCACCGGCAAAGGCGAATCAAAAACGCAAATCTGAGTCGTTACCGGTAGAGAAGAATGCTAAGAAGAAGAAAAAGTAAATCTCGAGTATCAACATGACGTAAATCAATACCTTATGCATTAGTCGTTAACATTTCATCGCTCTATGCGCATACATACATATAAGAGCAATATTAATATTGTATTTTACCATTATTATTGCGTATTCTATTGCGCGTACTTTTTAATGCTTAATACAAAAAAAAAATGCGTAAAAATTGCGAAAACGATAATAGTATACTACACAGCAGCAGCAGCAAACTACTAGTTATCGTATATATACTCAAATATACTAATTAAAATCCATTATTTTAAGTAAAATTACATTTTTATGCTACATAAATATTATAAAATTAATATACTTATTTTATATATTTATTTTTTTATGCTGCAGAAAAATATCATCGATTCCATCACTATAGATTTAAAATTGCTAAAAAAAAGTAGCTTCATTTTAACTTGACTTGTTCACACCTACATACTTTTATTTAATTTTCCTTAAGCGTACACACAATATCTTAAATATATAAAACTATACAGATTGTCCAGCAATTGAAGTTTTTTTCGAATGTTTGTTTGGGGAATATAAATATGGGATTTTTTTTCTTACATAGTGGCGTAATTAAGATTTGTCTCGAAGGACTTGACGACATCCAGTATGCAATGTTGTTGTTTTTGTTAGAACTCTACGCTTGCTGAATCGTATTAAGACCAATTTACTGTTATCAGCGCCTCGATGCACTAAGCATTCTCACTGTAGTTCGCTTAAATAGCTTAACCTGTGGGATAACGTTTGGTGAAAGGTAGCAACGGTATAAATACGTCCTCTCATAATATTTACAAATAATAGAATATTTATGTCCTTTGTGATAATTGTTGCCTGTTAAATGAACCAACGTAGTCGTAGTTTTATAGCAATTTTATTTGTACGAAACTTGCATGAGATATGTACATTCCTGCTCTTAATACATACTAGTTATTGATGAAATATTAGTAGAACAAGAAATAAAGAAAATATGTACGTATCTAAGTCGTTTGAATGTTTTGAGTAGAAAAGGGGCAATTAAAATCATAATCGATTGGTTTAAATACCTATGAATATAGACTGTATATAAGTGTATGTATGTTAAAGCGAATACATTAATATATGTATTTACCTAAATACACATAGAACGATTTAAATTAATATATTTTCTTCTTTGGTAATGTTTTACATATAAAAAATACTAAATGTACAAAATACATATTGTTCATAAGCCAAGGTAAGGCGGCATTCTAAAAACTACATTTCAATATACATATACATTTGTATGTACATATTGATATTTTTTTAAATTTATGAATTCTATATTTCCATTTTTATACTTATATATAAAAATATTTCCCATTAATTACCGCCAACGTAACGTATAACGCAATTTCCGTAAATGTATACGTGTTTTGAATACAATATCCCAAAATGGACTACTTATACCATAGCCCATATCCTGATGCGCGAAGTGGTGTTGATAGTGATACCGTTTCATATTGTACATAAAGTTTGTATGCTCTATAGATGGATTGCCATAATGGAGATAGTAGTGCATTAAATCGTAGCAAAGATAGCCGAATAGTGCACCGGCTAAAACGATACGTGGATGTGGTAATAGAAAACTGAGTGGCGCATAAATAATACTGGCAATTATAACACCCGGCAGAGGTGGAAAAACAAGACGCATCGAATCGAAAGGCACTTTGTGATGTAGGCCATGTATCATAAAATGAAATGTGCATAACCATGGATTTGTATTGGCATTGATCTTCATGTGGAACACAAATCGGTGCAGTACATATTCAAGTAGTGACCAGAAAACAATGCCGACAGCAAAGTAGGCGAATAAAAGCGTTAGCTGTGTGAAAAAAGTTCATTAAATATTACTTTGGATTTGTTATAAGTTTAAGATTAAGCCTTACCATGCTTAAACTAGATGTATGCCATAGTGGTGAAAATTCATCCCAAAGGCATTTACTAATGACTGGTATCCAAAATAGTGGTGTAACCCACCAAGGCGTTTTCGTAAATATCTCCAAATAAGTCGGACCAAAGAGACGTAATGGTCTATCTACCGGCTTATGCACCCATTCGTCATAGTGGCGGGTTATATGCGCTATTTGTGGGCACATGGCCTTCGACCAGTCCACCAGGTGCTGTAATTATACGTAAATAATATTTATGTAGTTAGTTTAGTTTTAAAGGAACAAAAACAAATAATTTTTTTATGAAATGCATTAAATTATTAGTCTAAATCTAAATAAGAAATCTATTTGTTTGCACAAATACCGGATACGAGTAAATAAGCGTTAATAAAACCATCGATTGAGCTAATACCAACTTGGCAGCACTGTTGGTTGCTTTTTTAAATAAAAAAACAAAAACAATCCGCCTACGATTTGACATATAACGCAAAATGTCAATACACATACTCAGAGAACCGGTGGTCGCAGAGAACGTAGAACGTATATTATACGTTCTTTGCAAGCTGAAAGAAAGTCAAGTTCGGCGAGCGAAAACTTCAAATTTTTTCAAATTTTATTTTGAAAATTTTTATTTTTACAATTCGTGAAAAGAAATTATATTTTTTCAGAGTTTATATTGCAGTAAAAGCAGTAAAACGGAGGTAAATAAGCGTAGAAACGAAAGTAGCTCTTGCTTGAGCAACGGAGACGGCGGTGCTGTAGTGGATACGCGCAGTAAAAATGCAATATCTGCGACATCCTTAAAACCCATGGAAACGTTAAAGGGTATTTTCAGTGTCCCCAGTAAGTATTATTAGCGTAGGAAAATGAATAAAATAACTTGGAATTAAATGGGAGAACTTGTGGGGACTTGGTGTCTAAAAAAAAATGCTGTGAAAAGCGTATTGTTTACGCCACGCTGGTTGTTAGGAGCAACAAAGGTTGCTACATCAAACTGTTTATGTTTGTATGTAGGAATTTCTTAATATTATTGCTTGAAAATAGTGAATTAAAATTAAGATTTCTTTATAGAGATGGATCGGAATCGTCGTAACTTTCTGCGTGAGAATAAACTAAGCTTACGCGAGTTACAACGTGTAACAAATAAGAATAGAATGCTACAGGAACAAGAGCAAATAATAAGGGAACAAAAACTTGTGGGAAGACGTTCACAATCGCAGCAACGAAATAATAATATTTTTGATGTAAGTCTTAGAAATTATATTTAAAAGTGCGCGATTATAAAGCATATTCTAATATTTCTTTTAATTTTAGAAACCAACCGTGTCACGCTGCCCCTCATTATCGCGCGTGCCCAGCGGTCGTGCTGCAGGCCCTTCAATAGGCGGCAGTATAGGTGATGGTGTAAATAACAATGGACGACGTCACGTTTCGCGCACAAATAGTACAACTACAATAAAATCTGTGCATAAGCAGGTGCAAACTGAAGATATACAGGACGAACAATTTTTGTATGATGCACTAAAGAGGTAAGTGTTTGTGTGAAAGTAACAATAACATTATATTAACTAATTGCTTATTTATTGTTCATGCCACTAGATGTACCACTAATGATTGTATTTCTCGTTCAAATGGTTTACAACCAAATTATACACCGCGTTCCCAGCACACAGTGATCGATGCACCAAGCCGAAACACTTTCTACCCGCCAGCTGTAGATGATGTGGACCCAAGAGGTTTAGAAAATACCACTGATCAACCCTATGCCATGCAGAAACAAATGGAGGATCAATACGTGCAACACAGTAATGAACAGAAATATACTCAACAACATTACAATGGACAGCAGCTAGCGGATTCATCTGAAGGAGATAATGAAGCGGCATTACAAGGTGAAAATGTCGAACGTTCATATGCGCCTGACTCGTCGTCCAAATATAATTTTGCACCAACACCGCGCTCACAACAACACTTCACTAATGGCTATAATATGGTGGAGAATGACGGTTTACCACCCACAACAACAATGCAATCATCATATGAACCACCAGATCAACAGCAGCAACAGGCCCCTCTTCGTTACCGTATGCAACCGCATGTACAGGAAGAATTGCGTGGCAATTTCGAAAATATGTCTTTAAATAATGGCTATGGAGGTGCTGGCGATTGTGATATTAGCGGTGATGATGATTGTGCTAACATAGAAGGAGCTAATAGTGGCGGTGTAGAGGCTGTTTCGATTTCCGGCCGGAGTCGTCGCACGAATTTCTCACAACATAGTAATACAGACTTGACGAAGAAACGCTCAAATGGCAGCGTACACAAGTTGGGTTGTAAGTTTGAAGATTAAAATTTAAAATTTAATTTTTTTTAATATTCATTGTTAATTTTTTTTTAAGCCCGCGATAATATAAGCCTGCCGCGTTATTTAGAGCGCGAGAAACGCGAAAGAGAGGAGCAACGTCAACGTGAAAGTGAACGGGATCCCAATTGTCCACCAGGACACTATCCTCTTACGGACAAGGAGCGACAGGCAGCACTGCAATCAGCTGAAACAAGTGAGTAACATATTGGAATCTATATATTGTATACACATTTTTGTTAACAAAAAATATGCTTTCAGGATTCAAAGCACTCATAAATGAACTGAATCGCATGCCCATGACAACGGAAACTTTACGTATGCGCGTGCGTAAGGCCGAAATCGAAAAGGAGCTAAAACAACTGGAAACCGACATAAGAGTGTTTTCCAAGACTAAAGTGTATGTGAAGCACAAGCAATAGGATTTATTTAATATAAATAGAATGACCAGACGCAATTTAAAATGATTTTTATTAAAAAAAAAAACGTGCAAATATAATAGAAATATGTACATATGTATTTTACTACTAAAATGGCAGAAATGCCATTTCATTGATACTAACATACGTATATGCATATGTTTAATTATTTTTCTATAGCGCTTGTGTTTTATTTTTACCTAATCATTTCAAATGAATGTTTGCTGCAGAGGTTTGTGGGGTGGACATGTTTATAGGTATAGATAGCGGCTGGTCTTTAAATGCCTCATAGAATACCTGATTGCCTTAATGCCTGTAAGAGCGATGTAATTATTCTTTTTTTACATATGCTTATGTAAATATTATAATTGAACCAGCAATTCAGTTTGATTAGATACTGATATGCATTAATAATAACTAATATTTTTTAACAACAAGCAAATACAGCATTTTTATTGCTTTTACAAATAATTTAAGTGTAAACAGCGTACAGGTGTAAAATGACGGTACTTTTACATATGTGCAATTGAGTGATTTGATACGTTGAATATTTTATCTTCGTACAAATATTTTTGTTGCGTAAATGACTAGGCATTAGGAGGTGTAGCTATAAATAGCGGTTTACTTTTTTTTAAGTTGCCTTAAATGTGAGTGCAATGATTAGTTATTTAATAGAGCTAGTATCTTATACATCCGTATGTATGTATGTTTTCTCAATTGTTTTATAAACCCTTTAGAAAACGAGTTACAGTTTATTGATGTCATTGTATTTATGCACTATCTGCGGTATAAAATTTATAAAAAATAATATGAAGCAGTAAGAAATCGTAACCTGCAACGTGCTTTTTTGCATGTAAAAGAGGAAGCATTGCAAATATTCAAGCCGTTACGAAAGCGCCATGCAAGAAATAACGCTGGCAGCACTGTCAACGGATTTCCTTCATATGCCTATTTTTTGAAGCTAAACTTGGCTATACTCAGTAGTTTTAATTCTTACTGAAGCAAAGGTTAAACATAAAGCATAACGTGAACGTCCGGTCCAGTTCATTTTGCATTAAAATATCTCTATTAAGTTTATTTTTCTGTAATTTTGCTATAAATATTTGGTACTGAGTGGTTGTGAATAAGTGAAAGTTAATAAAAAATTTGTGAAAGTCAGCAAATTCAAGTCAAAATGATAAACCACCACATCAGCTGGGCAAATATTTTGGTGGCCTACTTTTTTCACCACTTTGGCGGTAAGTGTAAAAAAATTTCTTGTTTACACAATTTAAGCATATAACGCTTTCAAACATACATATCATTACACTTACCTCCAAACTCTCATCAAGTTGATTATTATTTTTATCTTCCTGCATTGGGTCGCTTAACAATTCAATACCGTTTTCAGAGAAATCTGCAAACACTTGTTGCTCTTGCTCATTACCATCGACAGTTTGCTGCAGACGATGCCTTCGTTTGGTGTTGTTTAATAATTGTGTTGATGTTGGTTTTATTTCATATTCCTTCAGCAGGTACATAGCAGCGTCGGAGTGCGGTGGCGCATGCAGGAAACGTGTTGTCATATCGGCATTATTGAGACCACGTAAAGTATTTATACCCCCTGGGTGGTTTTTTAAAAATCGTTTTATATCATAATATTTTTGTCGATATTTAATTATATAAGGTTCGTCCGTGCTTTCCTTTATTAAAACATCTCTATTAATTTTGACAATTTCTTTTTCTTTACTTTGTTGGTCTTTATGTGGTAGTTGCATGACGTTGCCATTTGTAACCAGGGGATTTGTTGTTGTTATTGAAGGCATTGTTACTTTTGTTGTTATAACTGCTGAACTTGCTATGGGCAGTGTTAGGTCCGATACCACAGTTGGCATTTTTTAGGCTTTTACTAAAGCAATGCGCTGTTGATTACTAGAATAAATAAAATTACATATTTATTTATTAGAATTGAAAATGCACTTACATAGTAATTCAATTATCTTACTACAAATTCTTCCTCTTCTTCGAATAGTTATTTCCTTATGTATAATTACTTACTTCCTTCCTTTTGAAAAATGACTACCTCTTGGCAGCACTTACCAAGCAAGAATACAAAATATGTGAATTACACACTCATAAATGGTAGCATTTCTTGCAGGTAGCAGGCTGCCCTTTTTGTTGCCGTACTTATGCTTAAAAGCAGTATTATTATTGTGTAAAAAAAGAACATATGTGCATTCATAAATAACATTTTTAAGAGCAGATTGCAACCTTGAAATACGGTAACACTTATTGTATATATAAATCTCATATTTAAATGATAAAATTAATAAATAAATGTGCATCGGAAATTAGAAATGCAAATGCAAAAATTACCCCTTCAAAATGGCAGAATTTTTTTTTGAAAGCCAATTAATCAGAACATTGCAGTGTAAGTACAATGAGTAAATATACACTATAATTTGTAATTAGAGACACTTTTTTCCTTTGGCAATTTGGCCGGATGAAAAGACACAAATCCTATTCGCTAAATATGCACACTATTTGCCTGAAATTGGTCCGACGAAAAAATTGAAAAACAAAAAAGAAATGTGGTTGCAAATTTCCCTAGAAATATCTGGAAAAAGTCCCAAACAGTGTGAGGAGCGATATAAAACGGTTACTAAGCGAAAGAAAAGTTCTGCAGCACATAAAGTGGGAGCCAAAAAGAAGAAAACTGAGCCAGATGATTCTATCGATGTGGAAGTTGAGGAAGTACGAAAAAGTGTACGTGAGGAGTATTATATGAAATTCGACAAGAGTAAAACAAAAACCGTGCAAGATACGTTGCTGGAGATAGCGCAGAAGAGGGAGCAAGCATGGGAGAGACGACATCGTGAAAAAATGGATGCAATTGGCAAAATTCATAAATTGCTGGCAAAAATGGTGCAAACTAAAGGCAAATAATACAGATGAACACAATTTCCGTTTGTTTTTATAATTTATTTATGTACATACTAATGTTTACGAGGTGTGCTCAAAAAGTATCGCGAATTTTGAATTTTCGCGGGTTACTTATAATCGAATTTCGATTTTTTTTGTGGCGTTATATTGGTACTCATGTCTGTCACTTATGCCGATAAACTCGGCCATTTTGAATGTTCACTTAGTTGTTGACAGCTGCTTTGCTTGCACGTGTTTTGGATGGTCTTCGATTTTTAATTTTTAATGAAAGTTTTGCTCACAGTTTTCTTCGATTGCAGGGGCGTGGTGCATCATGAGTTCTTACCTCAGAGTAGAACGGTCAATAGGGAATATTACCTGCAAGTTTTGCGCAATTTGCGCGAAGCAATCCGCCAAAAACGCCCGGATTTGTGGAAGAACAAAAATTGGCTTTTGCACCACGAGAACTTTGAACGCGACTTTCTCAAAACAGTGTTTTTCTTCTTTTGTGCACACGATTAAACAATTTGTAATTGTCGCATTTTCATAAGATCGCTATCGTGTTCACAAAATAGACTCGAGCGAGAAGTGCACAAACAAATACGAATTGTTATTGCTTAACAGTATCAAATAAAGTTAAAGTAATTTTTTTTTGCAAGATTTGTGTATCCATGATCTATTTCAAAAGTACTCAAAACATTTCATACGTAAGGCAACCTAAAACACTGTACCGAATATCATGCAATTTTCTGCGTTCTAAACCAGATTCCCCCTTAAATTTCAGTTCATTCAGTTACGCGCAAAACATACCAATTCGAATTCTCTTGCTATAGTTTTTTTATCTTCTTGATTTTGTGGAAATCTTATTACTTCCGGCACCATATCTACAGCAAGAAAATTCAATACCTTATTGATAGCGTTAGACCAAAAAGATACACCACTTCTCTATATGGTGCTTTACGCGCGCTAAACCTGATTTACATTAATAATTATTATTATTTATTTATACAAAATTAAGAGATTTTTCACTGCATTTTACTATAAAAACGAAAGTATATGCGCCACCGCTGTGGTGTGTCGTCTACCTTTGTAGCTTCTCTCACCATACCAACTGCAGTTGGAGTACTTTTTAATGAGATACTCCGCACTCTAACGGTTAATGTGAAAATTTTTTTTAAACTGCAAAATTAATAGAAAACAAAGTATCCACAAATTTATTTTTATTGATAAGTTATTGAATTTAGTGTATGCACCTCCGCTGCCGTGTAGGAGTGTACAACATTACCAATAAAATATTTAATGGTTGAGAATCGATTGTTAGCAGCACCGCTTCGTTTTCATCTTCCGATGATGAAGATGAATCCATTAATTCATTTAAAATTTCAGTTATTCCAAGTAAAACGGCCATTTCAGTTTGTTTACTGCCTTTAAACATAATATTTATCTCCTATTAACAAAGTAAAGTGCATACAAAATGAAATATTGAAAATACCGCAATGTAACGTTTTTCACAAGAGAACACAATATTACACATTAGTTTTGTATCAACTTTTCAGAAAAGAACACAAATATTGGTTGCCCTTTACAAGCGGCACTTTTCGCCGCTTAAGAAAAATCTCGCGATTAGTGCTTGCAAACAATCGATCATCGATCATCGATGATTTGTTGAAGCAGTCGACATTTTTTAAATATAACGAAAACATTTCTTTTACTATAAAAGCATACGGGAAAATCAAAAATAAATCACAAATATGAATGATTAATTTTTTCGCAAAGGGATCATCCCATGCACAAATTTTTGTTTGATAGCAACCCTGAATGTGCAGTGTGACAACCGGCATTCCGTTGACGTTTGAATTTTATATGATAAATTTGCAAGATCATTCCATAAAAATGTTTGCCAAAATGCCGGGAAACTAAACTTTTTACTGGTAATAAAGTAATAGGGATAAACAGAGCAGCACAGCCAACTGAAATTTTAAATTAAACGCAGTACAAATATACATATGTATGTAGTACAAGCGAAGATTTAAATCTCCGATTAAAATAAAAATTATTTGCGCGGGACCGCATGCACACATTTGTCGATAATATAAATATGTATGTGCATACATTTGTATATACAAATGTATGTATGTAAATAAGGAAGTACAGGTTTTTTTTCGTGCAACAAGTTCAACTAACTGATCGGCGCAAGTCATGCAACGATTGACTGTTTTATATTTAGTTTCATAGAATATTAAATTGGAAGAGTGTTTTTGTGCAAAATTTCATAATAAACTAAATACTACACTATATACAAAAACTAAATTCACAAAACACTTAAATACTATATTTAGCAAATAAAAAGGAAACGGAAACTAAAATCGGCGATAATGCTGAGTTTTATTTAATATTTAAAGAAAATTGAAATTAAAGGAAAATCAATTAAACCGCTCAAAGCGTATTGCATGCAAATGAATGGAGAATATCAATTAAAGAACTTGTGTAAATAATATTTGCCTTCAATAAATGAACCACACGCCCAACTGTCTCATTTGTGTTTGTTATGTCGGTTAGAATTATTCGGGCCGCGGAACTTATGGCAATTAACCGCTTAGTTGCTCATTAAGTGTCTGTTGTCATTGAAATCGTGACATTTATACATTTGCTTTTACTTTCATTTTAAATTTTGGTTTTGTGCTTAGGCATTTTTTTCTTTTTCTTCGATAGTTGGATGTTAAAAGAAAAATTAAGGATTGTTGATGTATGTAAATATGTATATAAATAAAAAAAAATATTTTTATTTCATTTAAATAGAAAAAATTTTGAGTCACCCAAATAAATAAAGTTTGTTTTGCTTTTAATTTAAGAAAACTAATAAATGTCCAAGCATTAAAAAATATGTATATAGAAAAGAAATATAAATGTTTTAATGACGCACAACTCAAATACTTGCCAATGAAGTATAAAATGGGATAAAATTAAATGTTTAAAATGTTATATATTTCTCCACTACAAGCAATGTTTTGGTATTAAAAGTCTATTCTTTACCATTCGTGAATTTTTTATTGAGCTAACAGCTATCTAGCTACATTATCTGGCAGACAAGACCAAAGAAAGTCTTTTCCACACTAACTATACAACTTTTAACTAAACGTCAGCCGCAGACCAATCACAAGCTCGAACTTTCGGAATCGTTGCTAACTATTTAATAACATGTTAGTAATTTTTGTATGTATATATAAAAATATTTCATTAGAAATATTATATATAAAAAATATAAGAATTTAATTTTACGCGATTGTGTTTACGTTTTCATTATTGCGGCTCGAATATTGAGTAACGAATAATCACACACTCACTCGTTTGAGCAATTCAAGTTTTTTTTTGAGTATTTTGAGAAAAAAATATAACTTCTAACTATAATTTTTAATTTATTTATGCAAAGAAAAAACACACAACGAAATGCTAAAGAATTTTTAACAAACAAAAAAAAAATTAAAAAATTTTCAATATACGAGGTGTATTCAAAAAGTATCGCGAATTTCGAATTTTCACGGGTTACGTATAATCGAATATCGATTTTTTTCTGGCGTTATATTGGTACTCTGTCACTTATGCCGACAAGCTCGGCCATTTTGAATGTTCACTTAATCGAGGCAGCTGCTTTGCTTTCATGTGTTTGGGATGGTCTTCGATTTTTAATTTTTAATGAAAGTTTTTCTGACAGTTTTCTTCGATTGCAGGGACGTGGTGCATCATGAGTTCTTGCCACAGGGTAGAACGGTCAATAAGCGATATTACCTTCTTATTATATTCGCAATTTGCGTGAAGCAATCCGCCAGAAACGCCAATCCGCCAGAAACGTGCGCGACTTTTTTTCCAAAAACAACACACTAATGATGCCGCAGTTACCGTATTCCCCAGATCTGGCCCCCTGTGACTTTTTCTTGTTCCCTAAACTGAAGAGGCCCATGAAAGGACGACGTTACGCTACGATTGACGAGATAAAGACGGCATCGATGGAGAAACTGAACAAGATAAAAAAAATATTATTTTTTGAAGTGCTTCGAAGATTGGAAAAACCGTTAGCACAAGTGTACTTGTAAGGGGACAAAATAGATATTCATGAATAAATAAATCATTTAAAAAAAAAACACAAAATTCGAGATACTTTTTTAACACACCTCGTACATATGAGCAGTTGAGCAACGAAGGAGTATCGAGCTGCTCGCATTACTTGATATCCGGTTACCTAGAGCTCTAGCACATATGTACATGATATTTGGACATTATTTTTGTCAACTAAATCTTCTTAGATACCAACGAAAAGTTATCTTTTGTTTGCTTTTAAGTATGTATGTATGTAAATATATATTTATATTGTTAGTAGCGGGTAAATATTACCAAATTTCCTGTGTTGAGTATTTTTTTTATCATATTAAGACTTTATTATTGAAGTTCTCGCTTAGAGCCTTCCAGTTGAAGCAGTCACACAATTTTTTTATCTATTGTATGCCTAAATACCGGCGATTTTGATAATTTTATGAAAGGTTCAATAGTTTTTTTTTTTTGATATTTTAGTTGTTTTGCGCATTTTTTCGTTTGCGATTTCTACTTCAAAAGTAAAGTAAATTCGTAGTTAGTCATAGTCTGCATTTGTTAGATGGAATTATGGGTTCCTTTTTATCTAAATGTGCTTCATATCATTTTATTTTATAAATTTTTTTGAACTTTATTTTATTTTAGTTAGTGTATATTAATTTTTTGTTGCTTTTTCTTTTAAAATACCTAAATCAAACAACATTTTTGTATTATATTTTATTTTCTTTGAATTTATTTTTATTTATTTAATTTAACTTTTGGTACCATATTTATGTTAATTAGTTAATTTTTCTTAAAATTCTATTATATTTTATTTAATTTGATTATATTTAATTTTTATCTTATTTTTTTATTTTACTTTTATTTAACTTTTTATTTTTTAATTTATTAGTATTATTTTCATTTGATTTGATTATTATTTTACTTTGTTTAATTTATTTTATATTATGTCATTTTATTTAATTAGTCTTCATTTTTTATTATTAATTTTTCATATTTTTT